CCCAATTAAAATATGAGATACAATAAAAAAATTATTAATAAAACTATATCAAATACTTAAGTATAATGACCAGAGCCATCATACTCGCTAATTAATAAAAGCATCTCACAATGGAATGAAACAGCTAGATGAGACACTGTAAATACAAAAGGTAGAATTATGTAACATTTCGCGCCAATTAAAACATGTAAAATACTGAGTAAGCTGAGTAATCTAATTCATACAAAACGCTTTGTCTATATAAAGTGTATGCGAAATTTTGATGACATCCCTATTAATATTATAAATGCGAAAGTAACTTTGTCTGTCTGTTTGTTACGCTTTAACGTCTAAACCAATGAACTGATTTTAATGAAATTTGGTACAGAGATAGCGTTGACCGTGAGGAAGAACATAGGATAGTTTTTATCCCAGAATTTTGAAAGGTTCTCTTGGAAACGCGATATAACAGAACTCCACGCGGGCGAAGCTGCGGGCGGAAAGCTAGTTTTAAATAAAATTTTAGCGTAATAAAATGTATAGATATCTAAGATTTATTTAAATGTTCGTGTATTGAAACTATAAGATTAAAAATTCGTCCAAACGTGATATAAAGTAGGTACGATAGTGTAATTAGTAAAACAAATTGAAATGCGATGTTTTTGAGATCGCAGAATCGATTCTCGCTCATGTAAATGAACTTTTCATTCTATATTAATAGTTTAATTTAAATTTAATACATTTTTTTTTATTTGAAAATTATAAGTATTTATATTGGCTATAATGTGATATACTTCAATAAAAATTAGTGATTAACAATAGAACAAAGACTGTTTAGGTTGAAACATAAATAATAATTATTTGAACATAAAATAACTGCATAAGATGTTACTATGGTAATTATATTAAGTATAGAAAATGTTGAGAACAGATTTTTTTAATAATTATCGAAATATATTGTTCAAATTATCAAGGAAATAAATGCAATAGCCAATAGGATACAAATGTTATTATAAAATATAGGTTTTATACATGATAATGTTTAATTTACAGTCACATATATTATATTCAAAATTGAAATAGACTATTAAAATATATTAAGAAGATAAAAGTAAAATCAGTGGAAGTAACAAATAAATACATAAATATTACACGAACGGTAACTGCACCGAATATAATTTTTTTAAAATTTCAATTCGCTACTCAATCTAAAATTATATTTAACTAGCTTTCCGCCCGCAGCTTCGCCCGCGTGGAGTTCGGTTATATCCCGTTTCCTAGACAACCTTTCAAAAGTCTGGGATAAAAAGTATCCTATATTCTTTCTCAAGGTCAACTCTATCTCTGTAACAAATTATATTAAAATCAGTTCTGTGATTTAGGCGTGAAAGCGTAACAAACAGACAGACAGAGTTACTTTCGCATTTATAATATTAGTAGGGATTCGATGTTTATACATATAAATATGTGTGACGTCACTCATAGTTCAAAAGAGTAAGATAATTCACCACTACTATTTGTGTAGTAGCCTAATTGTTATAGCTATTACGAGGTTCTAGAAGTTGCAGGTTCGAGTCCTGTCCATATATAATATATTATGTATCAATCTATATTTAATATTGTTTTGTGTAAATATTTACAGACACAGGAACACTGTCGGTTAGTTATTTAGAAATTCTTAAATTATATAAACTATTTTAGTATGGATTATATTGAAATACTTAAATTTGGTTTAACTACACGAGTCAAAGCTGTTCTATTCGCCTAAATATTGTGGTTCAAAATATAATTGCCGAATTGAATGGTGTTCCCGGGACTAATCTATCGTTACGTCATAGTTATCTCGGTCCCGGGAGAGATCACCAAAATTCAAGGAACCACACCATATTTCCTATGAGAATTCTCACATAATCATACGATCTGTCTCAGATTGAGTAACTGATATTAATTTAACTTCGAACATTGGATCTTGGTGATAATAACTTAGCCAGATTAGCTGATTCTCGTTTATTTTCAATCTTCTTCTACCTGTCAACTTCCCAGATTTAGCCAGGGTCTGAATTACGTGTAGTGAATAGTTTGGCTAATTGTTTTTACGACGGACCGCCTTGCCTGACATCAACCCTCTCTGGGAATGCATTAATCAGTGATGTCTAAATACTGGTCAGGATCGAACCCGCGCCCTCGTACATGGGAGGCGGGCCTTTTAACTACTATTCATGTATATTTTCAATATATTTCATAATATTTTTAAATTTCCTTCTAACCTAGTTTTAGACGGAATTAGTCTGTCAATGTCACACGTGGAACAAAATGTATTTAAATTTAACGAACTTTTATTTATAATAACGTGCTGTTTGAAAATATTATTTTAAACAGCTTTTAACATATAAGCTTTAAAATATATTTATTACAAATGTTGAAATTAAATTTAATATTTTAAATTTATAATATAGTCATTGCTGGCTTCTTTAAATGTGTTTTTGGTATGAACTTTTAACTTTTTCGTTACCATAATAATTGTATTTTATATAAAATTCATGTAATTTAATAAAGAAATTATAATTAAACCTTAACCTTTTTTAATAAAAGATCTTTTGTAAATGTTGCCATAAAATATGTATGTAAGTATATTTTTTATATAATTTTTACTTATTGTTATGATTTCTGTATATTTTTTAGATTATAGCATTATCAACTATATTTGTTTATTTAAATAATGTGGTTTTATATAAATATTAAAAGTGAAAGTAGTAATTATATCATTTTATACTAACGAAATTATAAATATATTTTTTTTAAATTAACGTTCTAAAACTACACAGCTCTTTCGATATTTATACAAAAAAAATCCGTCATGTTATACAGGGTGACTGGTGAATTACTATCGATATTTGAGGACGTGATATATGACGATCATATATGACAAAATAAAAATTAATATAACATAAATATTAATAAACTTCTAAGTAAAGTTTACCAAAAGTTGTGTAATTAATTACGCATCGTGTGAACACCCTACAGATTAGGTATACATACACACACACACACACACGCGTGTGGCAGCGTTGTGTTGTATCAGCACGCCGCCGCACGCGTCCACACTTGGAACGTGTCCACACTTTATTAATTTATACGGAAATTTGGTCAAAAATTAAGTACCTATTTTTTTTACATAATTCGAATGAGAATCATGTACCGAGTATTCTCCTTAAATATTGATAGTAATTCACCAGTCACCCTGTATTTTGCTTACAATTATAGATAATATGAATTATAAAAAACCTATATAAGAATATAAATTATAAAAATATTATATTACACTATGAAACAGATTCAAACACGGACTGTGCTATAAGACGTGTAATGTCATTTGATCTCTCTTGTCAGTAAAAGGTTTCCTAACAAGAGCCGCACGAGCGTAAAACTAATAACTAATAATACTTGGAGAGTTATTAGCCAAAAATAACTTTCATATAATATTTAACAACAAAATTATTAAATGAAGCTAAGATTTTCGGATACTGAACTTTTTTGTCACAAATGTATTGTTGACGTTTAAGTCAATATCAATTTGACAAATGTATTGTTGACGTTTATATATTCTTGACGTTTCGAATTTACAACAACCATGATCACGTTTTTCATAGATATCATTCTTAATACTATTTCTTTCCGTCTTAAAACATAAATTACATAATTAATAATGTCCATTAAGTTTATATCATTCGTATAATTCTATTTTGTGGCCTCCATAAATGTGTCAGGAAACTCGGCCATGCTTGATCCTTGTTAACGATCGCAAGCGGAAATGCAAAATAATAAAATGATTTATTTAAACTCTCCAGATTATAAACATAAACATAGAAATAAACTGAGTAATGTCTGCTTTACGACAGTCGTCAATATTTGTATTATATGATATATACGAAAAAAAATACCAAGAATTTACGATGAATATTTATGTAATAATTTAATTTAATGGCAACACCATAATTTCTGTCAGAAATAAATCAGTATAATATTTTTATACATTTGTTTTGATTGTAATACAATTGTTTAAATTTTCGTTCAATAGTACTTATAAGATGGACAGTTATCTTAAATCTTAACGCTTTACGCACGAACGATCAGGTCGATTTCAAAAAACGACCTCATTTTAGTAAAATAGCCTATGTCGCTGTAACATTTTGTAAAAATGGCAATAATGATACAAAAAAATGACCATTCAACAAGAACTGGTAGCTTTTTGTACATGTAATAACTGTTTACAGTAAAGTTAACGTTTCATATTATCAGTTAGGGTTTTCCTTAGTATCCGTAGTTCAAGTTAAAATGGTGATACTACATACGAAGATTCGCACGTTTTATCCAATAAGATATATGTAATAATATTATATGATATTACTTTTGAATGAAATACTATTAACTCACGTTACATCGTGGCGATGTCAACTAAGACTTATATCATTAAATAAATGAAAAAGATTATATGTTCCTTTAATTAGTTTGTTATTAAAATATGCACTATTAAACCTCTGAGATTTTTGCCCTAACACATCTTGAAAACAATGATTGTTAAGATATACGCTTATGTACATACATAATTATATTATGTATATTTTAGTATTTTAAGCCTGATTAATCATTGCATATCTGTCAGTATTACATTGTAATAGTAAAGCAATACTCACTGCTAAAAATTAGCATATTTTTGATTGATGCTATCCATTTATTAGTCCTACATTTGAAATAAATGTTACATTTTCGTTGGAATAGAAATTAGAAATGGTGTCAAAATTATCAATAAAAATAGCGAATTTAGATGGAACGCTTTTCAAACTTCAAGTTTCTATTTAAGCTTGCTAAAAAGTACTTTCTATTAAATACTTCTGATTTCTGAAGCTTCTTCTATGAACTCAGACCAAAAATCTCTTTACATCCTCTGTAATGACAGCCAAGCCATAACGTAATGCTTTTATTGCTCATGATCAAATCATTATAAAAGCTAATTATTCCAGATGCGATGATGGTGGAGGCGGCGCGGCGACAGGGGGTCGTGCGGCATCGCTGCGGCTCGCCAACGGCAGGGTTGCAGCACAATCGGCAGAACAGCTGCCGCACTCGCCCGCGGACTGCGCGTCCGTCAGGATCTCCATTGACAACACCAACACGTGCTGCACGGACTCACTCGTCACCGCTCTCGATGACGAGACGTTGTTACTAGGTCAGTATAATGACGTCACACAGACATTCCGCAAGTTTCGGCAAGTTTCGGAAAGTTTCGGCAATTTAGTTTTCAGCTTGACGTAACCTGACTAGAAGAATCAGACTATATTTTTATTCTATAACTACCTTTCCGCCCGCAGCTTCGCCCGCGTGGAGTTCGGTTATATCGCGTTTCCAAGAGAACCTTTCAAAAATCCGGGATAAAAACTATCGTATGTTCTTTCTTAAGGTCAACTCTATCGCTGTACCAAATTTCATTAAAATGAATTCAGTGGTTTAGCCGTGAAAGGGTAACAGACAGACAGACAGAGTTACTTTCACATTTATCATATTAGTATGGATTAGCATATGCTAATAAAAGTGGCGCCATATGTGCTATAGTTATAATATACTACAATCATTACAATTATTTTTATGATCAATTGTAATACATAACCATTGTTATTTTGTAATGGCAACATTTAAGTATCAACTTGTATTTAAAAACTATTAATACTGGCTTCAGCCATTTTGGAAGACGTCATTGGAAGTAACGCTGAACAATAAAAATCAAGACTGAAACTATACGGTCTTGGAATAAATAAAATATATTGTTAGATTAAGAGGATTATATATAGTATTAAAATGAAAAAAACATTAAGATAGATTTCATTAATCAAATCGACCATGAAGGATTCATTTATTTCTTAAATCGAATGCTGGGATGTTTATCAAAAACATTTGGAAAAAAATATTTGTAGGTAAGAAATTACAAGTAAATAATATAAATATAATAGATTCAGGACATTTTTATGTATATATCCTACTAATATTATAATTGCGAAAGTTTGTGAGTGTGTGTGTATGTTTGTTACTTCTTCACGATCAAACGGCTGAACCGATTTTGATAAAATTTGGTATACAGGAAGCTGACGTCCAGGAATAACATATAGGCTACTTTACATGCCGGAAATCTGCAGGTAACACTGCGGGGCGCAGCTACTAAATATATAAATTGGTCATATTGGTCAAGTACTTCTTAAGTAACGCCAACCTACACATCTGATTCAACATGATTCAACAGCTAGTGAGCACGGTGACTGTACTTGTTGAGTTTTACAAGGAAATGATAATTTACCGAGATGGCTACATGAGGGAATATTTATTTCGGTACAAACCAACTCTGTACCACTTGAAAAATATACTGATAGGTATTTCCTGCTGAACGGTTTAGGTAAACGAAATTATGTTATTGAGAATATATATGAGAACAAAAAATTATTATTTTTGACAAAAATAAACCGCGTAGTACATATACGAATCATATTAGTTTCATTTAAATGAATAAAACTTGGAAAATCTTAAATCTCATTAACTGTCATGAAATTTAAATTAATTCTATATTAGTATTTATTAATTCGTTTCAATAAAATGACTTCAAAACTTCAAAAAATATATATGTGTTTTCTTATTTGCATAATAGCTTATATCTTCTGAAATCCAGATGAGATATTTCTCTCAGAGTTTAATAATTCATATTATTTTTAAAATCAAACTATTCTATATATAATCTTTAATATAATATTAATATAATTTAATATAATTTTGAAAAATATTAGCGGATAAATTGTTATTTTCTAGTAATACACTCAACAATTATTGAACAAGGAAATGTTTCACAATATTTTTATCATAACGGATATAGACTATTTATTATATGTATTATTTTTAATGCACAGATAAAATTATACTCAGCCCCGAGCGTTCAGCCAATGTGTGCCGTAAATATGATAAAATAAATATATATTATGTTTATTGGCTATTTAAAACAAATATATATATTTAATACTATAATATAACAGAAAAAGAAAATACACGAATATTTTTTTTAAATATACACTGATTTAGTTTTAAAAATAAATTATAATAAACCCAAAGACAGATATTATGTGATATATAAAATTTTATTGTCTGTATTTTGCAACCAGAGATAATTATGATATGTGTTTTTATGGAATATTTTTTTTATCGTGTTAAAAATGTTTTTTTATTATTTTTATCCTATGGCTTCATTCACACTGGTACATAATATATTATTATCGTAGGATATAAATTTCCGTCTGTCGTTATCTTTTATGTTATAATTTAATTCTAATATACTTTAGAATAAAACAATATAAAATTTAAGAAAAATAGTCTGAAAAATTTCGATATTTTCCGTCTCAATAAAATATCAATCACAAAGAACCCATTCAATTAAATATCTCGATTAAACTTCAATTAGCCATAAAAAGTACCACAGATAAGATAGGTTGACAATGAAAACAAATTCCTTCGTGAAAAGAAAAACAATTTAGTATCTGTTGCTGAAATTACATCATCTTAATAATATCTAAAATATATTTCTGCTAACAAAGTGTCTCCATAGCGGATAAGCGAATGACTTTATTAGTAATTCGTTCCCATTCCTACTTTTACATTCGTTCTTACAAACCGATGACGTCATCGCGGATCAGCAAAAAATTTTTTATCGTCAACTTGAAGTTTGTTCAACCTTCATAAATTTCTTCAAGAACAACACAAACTTTTGTATATAGATTGTCTTTAGAAATGTGATATATTGTCGCGAAAAATTAAAAGAAGTAATACGTAATATTAATATTAACAATCAAATAATTATGCAATAAGGTGTCAAATTAAACAGAAGCTCATTTGATTTTTTTTTGTTAGGTACTTTGTAATCACGTATCGGGAACTATTATTCCACAAGTTTAATTTTCATTGAATTCGAATTTTACTGCAATCACATACAAATACCAATTATCTTATTAACTCTACATATATAAAACAATTTTAATATATATTTTTAAACGTAAATAGAAATAAAATCTCAATCATTCATATGTATAAACAGAGTATGATTATTTATAAAACATTTACATTCATCCAGTCGACGAACCTTGTCAAAATGCCAATATGAAAATTATAAAATTACACGTCAAAAGTAAACAGGTTATTAGAAATGTTTATGGAAGTAAAATTATTTTATATACATGCGTAAACAAAAATAATTTAATAGGTTTATTACCAAGAAGTTTTTATTCAAATATAAAATAGGCTGAATGTATAAGAATAACGTTCGAAATTTGAATATGTAGTCAACTATGAATGTAAAAAATAACGTTCTAAATTTGAATATGAAACTATATGAAATTAACCACTAAGTCAACTCGTCTCCCGGGCTCCGTGCTATACTTCACGTCAATTATACTGACATTAAAATTGCAAGAACACATCAAAGACTTGAACAACGCTGCGTGTATGAATATTAAGTTCCATTTTCAAATTTCGACAATAATCGAGCTTCTTTATAACTTTAATATTATATTTATAAATTGCTACAGACGACAAAAATATAAATTATGTTTCTGATGCTGTGAACGAATTATAAGTAAAATCATATACCTAATAAATTAATGTGTTTTTATTTTGATGTACGTATATTTTTAATTAAATTCCACAATGATGACTAATTAGTATATAATTCACGTTATCTTGTTTCAATGGAGTCTGTAAATTTCATGGATTCACTCGAACCTTGGATAATTTATCGCCATTTTAAAAAATTTAACATCTTAACAAGGTCGGAAATAGTTTTGTTTTTACAATACTTATGTCGATATTTCATGAGAAAAAACATATATAAATAAATATTAAGAAATTAGGTCCACAATAACTACTATCAATAGCGTCTTTGTAAGTCATGTTCGCTAACCAAACATAAACATTTAAAAAAAAAATTCTTATACAGCCAAAAAAAAAAATCAAAATAAAAACTTTTTGGACAGGAACAAGCGATCAAGCTGTTAACATTGACCATGAATGCGGGGCGTGAATCTAGAAGCGACATGGCGCATGGCCCGTTTCCGTCACTCGCTCTGCAGTTTACCGCCGAACAGCACAGCGGCCTGACATGTCCTGTACGAACTAAACTTGTCAAATAAATATCGCGTGTTCTGTGAATTAATTGTATTATAATAAAAAGTGCAACAAAATGACAGAAAGAGGATGCCGGCGTTACGTTCGTAAAATTATATCAGGGTGTTAAAGCTTTTGTGTTGACAGCTATGTATATACCGGGACTAATACTGTGCTATATATAATTGTGGTATATATATGTTAATGTGTCTTAATAATTTTTATGAGCAATATTATGTTAATTGTATGACGTTATCGCATGCTATGCTTTGGGTTCAATTTAACAATAACTGATAGTTATTAGTTATTGAATAGTCGATGTTCGATAGCTCTGCTGTTTAATATATATTTTTTTTAATCAAATGATGCATTTTTCTCAAGTTACTAACATGCGTCAGTGCTAATTTAAGACGAAGATAAAACACGCATTGTCTTTATATATTCAATTAAACAGCATCGTATTTTATAAACTCTCTTTGCGATACCGAATAAATATTTATATTAAATTTTAAAGCGTAAAATAATTTTCTGAAATTAAAAAATATACATTGGCTGTATAATTTAAACCTATTGATGTGAACTAAATTTTTATTAAAAAAAAAATAATGTCATTCGAGAAATGTTTTAATAATTCAAAATGACATTGAAAGCGTCTCCGATACGGCGATACACCAATTGTTATAATCCGTATAATATAACACGTATTGCTTACATCCACTTGAGACTTGACATGGAGATATTATTTACCATTAAAGATCACGTGACGGCCATTAATTCATATTTATTAAACATATTAATCATATGACTAGGTACGGCTAATTGCATTGTCGTGTAGTGACGCTTAAAAATCTCAGACGCGGACTGATGTGTGATTCTTTATTTAAAAATTTGTTTCTAAATGAAGAAGTTTTTATTACATTCGCTTGAGGTACTAAAAGCGATGCAGGGAATAAATTGAATAATTTGATCAAACAAACGACCGTTCGTATTGTGGGCATTGTATGAATTTATTCTTTTTTTTTTAAAATAAGAGAGGAAATG